GGTGTGAGGTGACGCGAATGTCAAGCGCTGTTGCTGACTACACAATTGCTATCGGTATGCTTGTGGCGTATAAGTGGTGTGAGGTGACGTGAATGTCAAGCGCTGCTACTGACTACACAATTGCTATCGGTATGCTTGTGGCGTATAAGTGGTGTGAGGTGACGTGAATGTCGAGCGCTGTTGTACGGGCTGTTGGTAGTTTCACATCTAGGTCAAGTTGAAGCTGTGGTTCGTTGGCTTGATTATAATATAGGTGATAGGGTTGTCGTTCCTGCTGGAATCGGACCGGTTGGTTGCAAACGAAGACGTGCTTCTGTATACGACTTCTCACAAGATTCTTCTGCTAGAACGTCGACATTCACATCATATATTCGCTCACCATGCCGCCCCCTACAAGCATGTGGTTCTCCAATACGACATGTTTTTCAGCTTACATACTAATTCTTACGGCCGCGGTGTTTTGACTAGAACGTGCTAGCCATGCCACTCACCCATGGCCTTGTGTTACAGACGTGTTGTCTCGTTTTACTGGACGTATTCACTATTGTTTTATTGCACGGACTTCGAACGGTTCAGCTGTGTCACTCACCCGCGACCCAGCTAGCGTGTTATGTATGTTATTTGAAACACACACTAGCGTGTTATGTATGTTATTTGAAACACACACTAGCGTGTTATGTATGTTATTTGGAACACACACTAGCGTGTTATGTATGTTATTTGAAACACACACTAGCGTGTTATGTATGTTATTTGAAACACACACTAGCGTGTTTTGTATGTTATTTGAAACACACACTAGCGTGTTATGTATGTTATTTGAAACACACACTAGCGTGTTTTGTATGTTATTTGAAACACACACTAGCGTGTTTTGTATGTTATTTGAAACACACACAGCGTGTGCCACGGGCCCGCGAACTTGTTGTTGCAGGCATCTGTAGCGCTTTTGGACACGTTCATTTGAGTAGCTCTGTGATTATTACATCCGCACTATATTGTGCGGTCCATATTTCAGGATATCTGTAGCGTGGTCTGGCACATGCGTTCAAGTAGCCGGGACATTTTATCCTGAAATTACGTGAAAGGTCAAGTTCACTGATCCACTCACTTGTCGCTTTTACAGATGTGTGGTCTGCGGGGTGTGTGATGGCGGAGATTCTGATTGGACAGCCAATATTCCCGGGCGAGAGTGGGGTAGACCAACTGGTAGAGATTATAAAGGTATGTGTATATGTGGCGGGGTGGTTCCGAAGGTGTCAGTGAGGTATTGAAGTATACTGTATGGCCTGTGTAGTATTCAACCAGCAATATAATACGCACAGGACACTTAAAACAAGTCTGTAGGATATGCACATAGAGGTAGCTTGGATGGTTCATTCTCCTCACGGCTATGGGTACTCAGATAGGACAGCTGGCTTTGCCTATAAGTGGTATTTCATTAAATTGTGAAGTACTATAGGCGCCCGTCTTCTACCAAAATTGGCTATGTGTAGCCAGCCCGAACCACACAATGAACTAGACACACCTGTTGGAACTCCACACAATGAACTAGACACACCTGTTGGAACGCCACCCGGTAGATGGCTGGAAAATACTACTGTAGTTAAATACGACAGATAGCTAATTGGTAAGATGGGTGAAACATAATTACGAAGTGCGCTGGTTCTTTGAAACTATGCATGCATAGCTAGTATCTGAGCCTTATTCTTATTATTTGCTATAAGTACATGCAACCACAAGAAGGAACACATATTTTCTTTCGAAGGGGGATATTGATGAATGTATTTGTAAACAAACGCGGATTGTTTTGAGTCCACGCGCATGCGTTTATAATATCATGTACACAACTTCATATAAAATTGAGATGTCTGTGTATATTACCAGTTATACTAGTACTGCATCCCCATAAATGAATATATTAAGACGTGGGTAGTTTGTGCCTATGCATATACATGTTCATGTTCTTATGTGTATATATGCTCTTGTACCCCTGATGATATAGTACATATGTATTATATGTATATATCCATATCCATATATCCATATCCATATATATATATATATATATATATATATATATATATAATGTATATAATATATACATATATATATATATATATATATATATATATATATATTTATATATATATATATATATATATATATATATATATATATATATATATGTATATATATATATATATATATATATATGTATATATATATTATGCATATATGTATATATACACACTTATACATATACATATATATATATATATATATATATATATATATATATATATATGTGG